TGGTTTCAATGTCTTAATGCGGCGTATCCAGTAAGATTCCTTTTCCTTCCTAGTTTCGGAACTCCAGCTGTGGTTGTTAGCAATAGCGATAAGTATTATATCACTGAAAGTGTGGCCAGGGGAGGGGAAGTGTTCTGCGACCGGGCTTCTGTACAGCTTTTTTGTCATCCAATCAGATCTATGAAGGTTTATCCTTTTGTGTAGCTTTTCAATTTCTCCGACGTACTGAAGGCCACAGATCTTACATGTGATGAGATAAATCACATTCTCTGTTTTGCACGTTTTGTTTGGACCATGTATGTTTAGTTTTTCTTTAGTCACTGTGCTAGTGAATGTCTTGGTCTCTATCATATGTTGAAAGGTTTTGCATCTTTTATCGCCACAGAGACCCTGCATGTGAACATATGGGCATGAGATGGGTAATTACTGCATGCACTATATATATATATATATATATATATATATATATATATATATATATATATATATATATATATATATATATATATATATATATATATATATATATATATATATATATCAGGGGCCTAAAAGTCGAGTAATTCATTTTGGAACTGAGTTACCCTCGATAAATAAAGTCTTTATTATTATTATTATTATTATTATTATTATTATTATTATTATTATTATTATTATTATTATTATTAAAACTTCACAGTGACAATAACTACAAAGGATTACACCTTTAGGTCCAGTCCATGACCTAACCCAGCAAAAAAAAAAAAAATAACAGCCGTACAGTCACTTGAAATTTGATCATTCTTGCTCACATTTATTGGGTATTATATACACTTTGAATAAGCAGACACAGACCTTGCTTTGGTGCCTTTTTGGTGAAAGCCAGGGCCATTTTGAAGTTTTGGAACCCCTCCAATCTCTCAACACTTGACCTGATTCGGTCCTGAGCAGAATAAAGAACATTTAACCATCTCAAGACTTTCCTCAGAAAAAAAAATCAAGAGTGTAATACAATGGTTTATTCTGTACCAGTCATGTACGTCCGTCAGAAGATAAACTTTTCACTCATGTAATCTCTGCTGTAGCGTATTGGTCTTCACCTTAACCACTATGAAAAATACGGTCTTTTACTTAGGCGAAATTATGCTACAGTCATGTGATTCAAATAGTATCAAAATAGCGATATCAGTATTAGAATTTTGCGTTGGCGGAAATGCCCAAGATGTTGCGAGTTGGAGATAGGTACAACTCAGTTCTCGTGTACAAAAATGCGATTTGTTTTTTTTTCCACAAAGTGATCTCCCTCTTCCCCCCCCGTATATCATAATGTGCTGACGATGCTTGTTTATATGTTCTGCCAGAAACTGTACGCTACACTCCTCACCGTTTCTCCCAAAAACATCGTCATCAGAAGACATACTTTTGGTCCCTAGAACGAGAGCCATGGGCGACAATCGGCTCAAGTTTTAATCGTAGCAGCCCGCGATAAGATTGTCACCGTTTGACAGGAATATACAATCACGAAACTCTACCTCATTGTCGTAAACATCTCCTCAATTTATTCGTGGCGGGTTAATGGTTTTGACTATTGTTATCTAGAAGTGATCGTCGACGGTGTAATTTGCTAGGAACGAGTAAATGTCAATATAAAGTATGAATCCTGTGGGTGGAATAAATAAAGATCTGAGTTGATATATAGAACAGAATAACACGAGGCCCCGTTACAAATAAAGACAAATTTAATCAAAATTCAAAGCAATAACATTTCAAAAGCAAATGATATCGACGTTACAATTTTTGAAAGATACGCTTCTTTCTCCTTTTAATCAACTGATTCAAGAAATCTCAAAATACAAATAAGATTGTATAAATAGCCGATATGTTGTTGTTGTTGTTGGTTGTTGTTGTAGGGTTTAACGCCATTTTTCAGCACAAGATAGGCTATACATGGCGGCCAGTATTAATGGTGGAGGAAAAACCCCGGAAAACCCAGGGAAGAACCACCGACCCACGAGAAGCTACTGGCAATCTTTCTCGCTTACCCACGTTAGCCGAGTCTGGACTCGAACTCACGCAGACAGAGGTGAGATGGTAGTGATCAGTAACGGTCAGCGCTTTAGACCACTGGGCCACTCAGGGCCCCACCGATATGTTAATAACAATAGAATCATATCATCATTTAAACGAATGAGAGATCGAATAACACTGCCTTGTGTCGATTCATAACCATGTAATTGATTCCGTCCAAAGTCCACTCAGACTGTTCCTCTTGACTTCTTTACGCCTGTAAGGATGGGTCTCTCCACTCTTTGTCTTCCTTTAACCAAAATTTTCTGATATCTCGCCTCTTTGGTCCTTCCAACTTTTTGTAGTCCATTTTGGGTTGTAAATCGTGAGTCTTTCCTTATGCTATCTCATCTTTTGTTTTCAAGCTCTTTTGTGTCTGTCAATTTCTCCAGACAATCATTTCCCATTGGATAATTTTACGAGAAATTTACTTATTAAAATATGTTCTTAAATTCGTTTTATCTTGTAGAAAAGTGTAGACTGAATTTTCAAATCGCTATGAGCACAATTAAGCTGATAGTTTTCATGTAAAACCACGCCCCCTACCACAGCATGTCCAATCGGAATGAAATAAAATTCCCGCTTCACTAGCCTCGAAACACTGCATTTCATCTGACAACAATGGTTACTCGACTGTTCCTGGTAGCCCTCAGAAACGACAAGTTTCCATACAGAACAGAAGATAAACTCAACATGGTAAATTTAAACAAACGTAGCCATCACAATTAATTAACATGGTAAATTTAAACAAACGTAGCCATCACAATTAATTATCGATAACTCTTCACAGAGCATGAACTAATTCGTGGATTACGGCTTTCTTTTTAAAAAACGGCATGTCTCTATAAATCTAATTAATTGTACACATGTCTAGCTAAATGTATTCAACCAAGATTAACATTAACATCACAGAGATCGACTTGATCCCTTACAGTCATCAACTAGCCATTAAAACTAGTCTGAATAAATCAAAGAATGTGACCTTGGAACAGACAGTCTAGTAAGAAAGGTTATGTTTTGGAATCCTAGTCGAGCAAGCAAAAATAGACTAATCATGTTTGTGTAAATACAGAGGATATACATGGAAATACACGAGAAACCAGGAAACCTTATCTTGAACTCTGTTATTGCTAATGAAGCTAGGAGGAAATATTTCATTCCTCCTCAAACAAATTTGTCTTTCCATGCTTATATCCACACTCAAAAGATCCCTAAGCGGAAAGATATAACAGGGACACAGACAAATGGAGTATAGGGCCTAATGACGCCATAGGATCCCGTAAAATTTTATCCTTTCTGCACCTTTCCCATAAACAAGAAACGGAAATCAACATGACAAATTCTAACCTCACCCTGTCAAGAATGCGACCAGCAAGTACACAGTTTGCCCCAAGCCGCTTTATCATTCAAGTATCCTTACATAGTTTACGGACGTGGATAAAAAATGAATGATACATATTACATCACTTAGCGGTCTCTTTATGTTAAGTCTGTTAAAATAGCCGTTATGCACGTAGTGGATACGTACCAATCATGAGCTGTATCAATCACTGCATGTTCCATGACAAATGATTGTTATTTCTGAAGGAGGCTAATATCTCAACTTCCCCAAAGTGTATTTATATCTGTCGTTCTCAAGGAAGATAGCTCCTTCGGTTATATACGATTCTTGGGATGAGCACTTAGAGAGAGAGAGAGAGAGTGAGAGAGAGAGAGAGAGAGAGAGAGAGAGAGAGAGAGAGAGAGAGAGAGAGAGAACATAAGTATGGTAATAAATGTTCAAAATCCTTGTTACTTAGACTAGTGCCAACTCATCAGTTTTTCTTACGAGACCTAATATAACAATTGCATTTGATTTGAAATATGTGACCTGAAGATCACAGTTCTAATACGCATGCCTAATGCATATGTAGTCCCTGGTTTGATATGCGGTTCTAGCATGTGTTAGGATAAAGATCCGTTTATCACTGATAGTGGATTTAACTTAATCCTTTAGACTTCTTATATATACTAATAGGATAATCCACCTAAAAGTCAGCATCTGACCTCCAGAATGACCTTTACAATAGATGTCAGATAAACCACTAAAATAAGACCCTTTACAATAGAAGTAAAATAAATCACTTAAAATCAGCAGACGTAAACAAAACACACTAAGCCAACTCTTGACATAGATAATGACATTGACAACAGACGTAAAATAAACCACCTATATATATATATATATATATATATATATATATATATATATATATATATATATATATATATATATATATATATATATATATGTGTGTGTGTGTGTGTGTGTGTGTGTGTGTGTGTGTGTGTGTGTGTTGGATGAAGGTCGTAGCTGCTATCAAAGGATGTTACTTTTCTGCCTGATACTGATCATGAAGGAAATAAGAACACGATGCGGTTTAGTGGCCGTCTGCCAATGTGGTAGGATTACATGAATGGAAGGGATTGGTACAGTTAGTGAAATATTTGTGGCAGTATATCCTGTTGAGAATGCTCATCGTTTTAAGGTTAAGGACAGCAAGTATCTGGTTCCGTGCATCTTCATACGCACGTTTTGCTGCGAACAACTCTCTCTCTCTCTCTCTCTCTCTCTCTCTCTCTCTCTCTCTCTCTCTCTCTCTCTCTCTCTCTCTCTCTCTCTCTCTCTCTCTCTCTCTCTCTCTTCTATTTTTAACCAAAAATAGATAGAAGACATTCTTTTTACCAATATTTCTTATAGTGAACCGACAACCTCATGTTTTCCGGGGGTGAGTTGGGTTTGCTTCTATCCAGTCAAGAATGATATTATATCCACCATATTTAGGTAACATAGTAAATTATCGTGTCTCGGATCGAAAGAAAATTCAAATTCCTAAACACCCCACACAAAGAGAAAATTAAATGGTATGTTCCCAAATAGTGAGTTCTTTTTCTCGAAACAGGTTAACAGCTTCGGTGGCTTAAATGGTTATAGCCTCCGCCTTGAAAGCGGAAGGTTGCGGGTTCGAACCCTGGCAGAGTCATACCAGAAATTTATAATAATGGTAATTGTAGTTGTCTAGCTTGGCGCTCAGCATTAAGAGGTTAGTCTTAGGACTGGTCTGCATGGTGTCAGGATAATGTGATTGGGTGGGACATGATGATAAATGTCTGCGTCACGATGATCTAGTGCTAGGTATCATTATAAACTGCGACCAAATGTTTTATGGTTGTAGAAGTCTGATATTATGTGAGACTCTTACCAGACCAGTCGTGGATCATGGTAGGTTTACCATTTGTTGTCAGGTCTTTCACCAGCTGATGTCTTTTAACTGCTACTCGAGTTCAAGCTCTTCTCGATTTCCTGGTATTGTTCCTCAGTCTAGCTTTCAATCGCTTTCTAAGCTTTTTTTATTCCTGTTAAAATTCCCCTGTTATTTCTTCTCTTTCAAGGTCTCCTCGTTCAACCTCGGTTTTCTTCCCACATCACAGAGGTTGAGGATATCTGCTGTCACACAGGGCTTCTTTATCCTACGATGCTTGCCAAGAATCTCGCTGTCTAGGTTTATTTCTGCAGCACCTAGATTTGTGAGGGTGCACATTTTCTGTTTATTGATGCTTCAAATGCATCTTCCATGCTTGTAATTTTACATTTTTCTAGTTCAAACCTGATCCTCGCCTGTCTAGGCTTATTTGTCTTCTTCCGATTGTTACGACTCGATGCTCTTAAAATAAGCAACATAAAAGAGTGAAGTAAACAAGATTTATAAACTTTAACAAATAATTTATTTCCCTAGAATGCAAAGTGAAAATGAGAAAAAACAACTTAACGGTTTTGCATAGAAAGTCCTGAATAAAATTCAGTTTATGTCCCAAAGAGATCCAAAAATAAAAGGCGATGACAAATTGGTTATGACCTGCGTCGTACTGATGTGTCAATAGTCTCCTTTTGAATCACGGAAATAATATACCAGGTTTGAATTCTGTATAAATTCTAAATAATGTTGTTATGTGTGATTAATGCAATATTTTGTTTGTTAGTTTTAAATTTTTGAATTCTATTTCATGTTATTGTAATGTAACATTGAGTTATGTTATGTTTGACCTGACTGATAATTTTTAAATTTTCATTTTATTGACGAAAACAAATAATAATAGAAACATTGTATCTAGTTTCTGACCTAGTTCCTGTACCAGTAATAGTTTTGGTAAACAACATTTTTTATATATTATCTTACTATGATTAAAAATCATTAAGTCAAAGTCATACCTGGATTACGTTCCAAGTAGCATGTATCAATTGTTAAAACTTCTATATTTTGCAGAAGAAGGAACTTTTGACCCTCATCCGAAAATATGTTTTGCGTTTTAGGTAGTTGTGTAAACTGATGTTTTCGATTGAGGATTGTTAGTTCGGCTTCAAACAACTGACACGTTAAGTTGTTATTATGTTGTGACGAATTTAGGTTTAAATTTTTTTTCTTCAAATTTTTGAATTAACGTGATTATGTTATTCTGGATATATATATATATATATATATATATATATATATATATATATATATCTATATATATATATATATATATATATATATATATATATATATATATATATATATATATATATATATATGTGTGTGTGTGTGTGTGTGTGTGTGTGAGTGTGTGTGTGTGCTCTGACAAAATTCTTGCATAAAACATTTATTGGAAGTTACACTGAACTCAAACGTGGAATAATACTTTCTGTGATTCGATAAGATACTGTTGACACATGTGCACATCGCTGACCACTACAGACATCATCGCTTTCCATGCTGCATTTCATCGGGACTCGAACTCAGTTTCCTTCAGGACGTTTTATTACTTGGACTTCTATTTTTAATTCTGTGATTATTTCTGCATTTAATTCGTAGAACCTCAAGTTATTGTTTTTTCCTTATTCTTCACTTTGTATTCTAGGGAAATAAATTATTTGTTAAATGTTACAAAGCTCGTTGTCTTCACTCTTTTCTGTTACTTATTTTAATAACATAAACTCGTAACAGTGTCTTTATCCAAGAAGCTTGTCAGAGTACGTTTGTATTTCCAGAGAAAACAATTATTTGAATTCAAAACCTTGAAAAAAAAATTAAAATTCAGCCGAAACAGGATACAACATATTACATTTTTAAGTGCCAGATCTTAATGTGGAACTGGTAAAATCTTCACAGACGATAATATAGTTTTCTTTTTGACCGCAGGTCAAAAATTAGCATTTTCTAAAAACAATCATTATCTAATGGAAAATATCTTTCTAGCATGTTTTAATGAGCCTTGTTTATTTAAAACATAATACCATATAAAATTAACTTTGGAATCCCCTAGATTCTGACCCAAATCAACGTGCTTAAATGAATAATAATTTGGTCAATGAGCTCATACCCATAGAGAATAATGAAACTATTTAGTTGTTTACATCAATGAAATAAAATAAATTAAATATGTCAATCAGGTCGAACAGAACTGAACTCAGTTCTGGACAAGGTTACATCCAGTAAACAAATGTTACATTACAAAAAACATGTAATGGACTAGAATCATTTAAAACCAACAGACAAACAATTAAATTAAAGATTCATAACATGATGAAGTTTGGTAGTCATCGTGAGCAGGTCATGGTTGCTTCCTTGTCAGCACCTGGAAAGCTACGTGTTCTGACAATGACGAATTTAGTCCAGAAGGGCCTCCTCACCAAGATACAATTAGTCTGGTTTTTATGTTCTCTGTCTAGACTGTGCCAAATCCATCTCCTGGATAGTTTGTTCGAAGCCACTGACGTTCGTTATCACTAATTTATTGTACGTGGCGAAGCCCAAGATCTTGAGTCCTCTCTCACTAGTCAGTTCATTAAAGAGAGGACCACAGTCGTCTTGTCTTGTGTCTTGTCCAACATTGTCATTCCAGTCTCCTTCAATAATCAGAACATCTTTCTTGGTTCTCTGGTTAATTAGAGTTTGAAGTTGGTCGTAAAACTCACCAATGTCAGCGCCATATCGTGGTTAGAAGTTGGGGCTTAAACTTCTATGATAGTGATGTTGAAGGGAGATAGCAGCAAGCGTATGGTAATTATCCTATTAGACATTAGTTGACAACCCATGACTTCTACCCACATGCACGATAAACCCTACTCCATGATTATGCTTGTCCTCAACTCCACTGAAGTAACTCCTGGTCCTTCATCTGCTGGTCACTCCGAAATTCTTTCTAGCAGAGTCTAAGGATGTGCCGTTGGTATTATTTCCACGCCTGTTGATGTTAAGTTCTGACATTCCCTTTTTAAATGGTGATGTTATCTCTTGTTCATACTATTTGCGTGCTTATCACTCCCGTCCTATTGTCCAGCCGATGACGCAGTCATTGGCAACCGGGGATCCGACCGATCCGAAATGATAACTTTACCCATTAGCATTTCATCATCTCCGGCGATCATGGGCAGTTGCAGTCTGGCGGAACTCATCAATTATAGACCACAGCCCATATCCATGTTATTGTATGGCTCGTACTGGTACCCAACATGTGGAAGTTGATTTCATCTTAAACCCTTCTGTCCTTTGCTGTCGAATTCAACTTCAAAGACTTTTGCTCTTTGAGTTCATTGTACCTCGACCTTAATTTCACCCATAGATAGCAAGACTCGTTGACTCGTTGAGGCACGATTGCTTTAAATCTTTCCCTTACACATTTTGATCTTGCCCACTGCCTGCCCAGTCCAAGACAGTTCTTAATGCTGACGCCAAGCGAGATAGTTATTGGTGTCACCTTTGTCTTTGATCTTAGGATGGATCGCCAGGCATTCGAACCTAGGATTTTTTTTGTTTCAGGGTGTGGCGAAAATTTGCTGAATCTATGTGCATCAATTATACACATATTTTCTTACAGTGAATTCGTAGTTACGATCACCTGGAATAATGTCAATACGTATTATGTAAGACTACAACTATAGACCTGATTATGGACACAAATAAACTGCAAGTCTGTTCTTCAGCCATTACGCAATGACCAGTTCGCAATCAATTCAAGGACAATTTTACCACCAAGTAGAGTCCCAATGTTTGTTTTGCAATCAGTCGTGATGTCACGACCAGAATGGAAGCAACTTTGATCTTTTGGAACCGGACACCCGAAAGAAACGAATAAATGTTAAATGACCTCGGGGCACTTTTCAAAAATATCCAATAGAAACTGAGAAAATAAAATCAAGAGCGGAGACTCAATAAGCAATTTGGTCAGACTATATCTATTTTCAATTCAGTACATGTGCGAACATAGCCAGATGTGGATCGTAGGGAAGTTGGGAGGCATTTAACTGTACTCCAAGTAGCTGAAGTTGTGCGCTCGTTAAAATGCGAGAAGGAGTTGTAGTGAAATTCTAAGTTTGGATTTGCGGATAAAGTTTTCTTGAGGTAACCTATCTTTGCCCGAATTTGTCTCACGTTTTTAACTAGGTGTTGCAAGATTGATACTTGTTATGTACATTTAATTTTTTATGTTACGTATATATGATTGGGTTGCTTTTGTGTAGTGTTTTAAATTATTTTTGTTTCATTGTATTTAATTGCTATGAGTATTTTTTCTCGGATTCAGGATTCTAGTTTTAGTAGTGAGATATAATTTTAGCAGAAACTTTGTTTATTTAAAACGAAATCGTAATACGTAAGGGTTGGCATTTATCTTGTCTTACCTTGATAACAAATCAACAGGAAGTTAAAATGATTGGTCAGCATCACGAACATACTTTCTTCGCGTGATAAGTATTTGTAAACTACCTATTTTTATGATTGGTTTTTATGTCAGACTGTACTGCGGACGTGACATAAATAGCGAAATAAGAGACCACATGACGAATCTCGCGAGATTTGAAGTGATGTTGAGTGTAAATACCCATTTTTAATATTTTTTTTTGGCCAAAGTAATTGTAAACCGTGAAAGAACAACATGTATTTATTTGCCAGAATATTTTATTCTTCGTCTGATTTTTGTATTTAATAATTTATTTTCCTGGAAA